GACGACTGCCCGAACCAAAGACCTGGGGGGCGATAAGGATTATAGTCGTGTTGACTAGCTTGGTACCTCTGGCGCGCGGTACCAACGCGTCGCAACATAGTCGGTCATACCGCCGTCTACAACAAGATCGGGATTACAAAGCCTTGCAAGGCCAAAATCACATATTTTGAGCGTACAGTCAGCGTCGACGAGCAAGTTTCGAGGCTTGATGTCACGGTGTGCAATACCAGCGGTGTGCAGGAAATGGACACCACTCAGGAGTTGGAAAATGAAAAACTTGATATGTTCGTCCCCAAGAACCTGGGAAGATTCGATCACCCGTGATAGATCGGTGTCCATGAGCTCAAAGACCACGTAGATATCTGTTGGTGAGTGTCGACCTACACTCGAATGCTGGTGCTGGTATCATCCAGAAAGGGACTAAATTGCTGTACTTATAGGGAGGATGGTTCGCATTTTAATAAGGTTGTTGTGTGTATCGAGAAGGCGCAGTAGGCGAACCTCACGTAGTGTTCTTTTAGCACACACATAGCTAGCAAACGCGTCGCTAATACGTTTAATAGCGACGTTTCCTGGCACCTTGAGATCTCGAGCTGCACAAACTTCTCCAAACGTACCCTTGCCGAGTCTCTCCAAGATCTTGTAACGCGCCTCGCCTTCTAAAAATTTCCCTGGAGAGACGTCTCGATGCCGATCGGGCAGTTTAATCTCCCACTCCCATGAGTGTTGACGGTGACTTGTTGTTGGTGACTGCCATTCCTGTAAGATCTGCCATTCCCACGATTTACTTTCATGATTTTGACGCAACATGCTGAACCGTAAATCTAGGTAAAGAACAGGGTGGTCCTTTGCGCATGCGCAGCATGGATTTCAGTCTGCATACTGAGGTCATTAGCCAAGACCATCAGGCTTGATCTTGTCGGACAAAAATCAGTTTTTTTCATGGGGAAAAAAAGAAAAAAAAAAAAAAAGGCCGGCGCCGCAGGCGCCGGCGGGCGCCGCAGGCCTTGAGGGGAAATGGCAGTGTTCCTGACCTAGACGGGAAAACGAGAAGTGAGATGGGGCTGCTAAGCAGCCCTGATTCCCAACAGGAGATAGGAAGCTAGGATAGTTTATTAGCTTCCTAACGACGCTATGACGTCAGTCAAACTACAGGTGCACTGTCCGGCGACTGTGCTACCTCGCTGAGCCTGGTGCTCTCTGGCACGTCGCTGTGACGCTAACCAGACAGACACCACAGACACAGAAGAGCGCTATGCTCTCTGTCCCTGCTTGGCAGTCACTCCTTCAGTTCGCTGTCTATAAGACTTGAAACTGGATTAGAATGAATTAAGGAAGGGAAGGGAAACTAGCAGGATGCGCAGTAGGAGCGCAGCCATCCGCCGCAACTTGAAATCGAGCGCAGGGTTCGGGCACGTATAGCCATTGGGCGTCGCTGGGTGGAATCACCAGACTATCATGCATACGTTACCACTAGCTCGAAAGTTACCGATTACATCAACTCGCAAATAGAGCTTCGAATGAAAGAACTCCGCCATCATGATTCAACTAGGAAATTTGAATTTGATAAACTCAAAGACCTTCAGATCCCACCGGTAGAAAGCACAGAAGGGGTGTCGGCCATACTTGTCAAAGATGTTGAGGAATTCCCTCCGCGAGTTACTAGACCAGGCTGGCAATTTAATGTACTTGAACCCGTTTATTATAATGATGGATCAAGTGCTGATCAGCGCACTTTACTGTGCATACCCAGCAATTTCTCGTCTTTGAATCTTACTGATCATCCGCCTTTCATTCCCTTCAATGACTATACCCGCAGATATTACGACCATCTCCTTCACAAAGTCCAAGGTGATCGAGAATACTGTCCGAACCCTCGTAGGGTACCGGGATCTCCAAACTTCTGTGATATTGGGCAGCCACGTGCACGCCCGAGTGTTTTTTTTTAAAACCGTCTTTAAATAGCATGGAACCCTGCTCGCAATACTTCGCGCGCTGCATCTCAGCTCTTTCGGGCGTCGAACTGGCGCCTGTTTTCAGTGATCCAGAGCCGCTAGCAGCCTTCGTGGACGACCCTGCGTGTCTGGTGCTCCGGGCGTTCGTGAGTGATGATGGTACTGCGGTGTTGTCGACATCGATGGCAGAACGCAGCCAGGGAAGCGCGTGCGAAGTCAATCTTCGGCGCCATCGACGCCCCCGGGGGGTCGGTACTTTTTGTGCGGTTGCGTGCTTGTTTGCTTTCGGCGCCCATGATCCTCGATCCGTTCCCGTCTAGGTGGCGTTCGTCAAGCTGTCGCCCCACTGCCTGAGCCCCGAGACGGTGGCAGCCAAAGTACGCGTGTTCCACATTGGGACAGGAGGTGTCGCGTCATCCCTCCAGGGGGCGCTCACCGGCCTGTACTGCCCGCTTCTCCTGGAGGCGACTGATCTCGGTGGACTGCCGCAACCGACGGGGAACCTGCTCTCGGAGCTCGAGACTTCTTTGCGGAGCGCCGTGAGAGACGCGACTCTGCGGGTGTGAAGCGTCCGCGTCTGCGCGCGCGCGGACGCGCGTACGCGCGAGAGATTGGCATACCCGCCGCTTTCGTGTCGTCGTGCGCGGCCGCCCGGTTTGCGGTCCGGTGCTAAGCCTCCCTCCATCACAGGCCAGACGGCGTGCGAGGCCCCGTCGACGAACTTTTTCGTATCGGAAACGACCGGCGACCGCCCTCGCCCTCCGTAGGCGTCGCTCGACGACTGCGCGGCGGTGCAGGCGCCCGTCGACGAGCTCGACTTTTGGGAGCGAGCTCGATCATCGCGAGGCATAGACGGGGACCTCGTCCACGCTGTCCATAGCGCACTGGAGCCACTGCGGGCGTCGTTCGTCGCGCTTGATGCGCGGAGCCGGGTCTGAGAGCCGCGCTCCGGTTCAGGCGGGGGTCGGGCGCGCTCCTCGAGACTCGCGCGCGATCTCTCCTGTGCGATCGTTCCCCGCCCCGCACAGGCGGTGTCTTGGGCGGAAACGGCCGAGGTCATCGACATGGTGCGCGACTCGCTGGACGCCGCGTGGAGGGCGGCGGGCCGAGGCCACGGGAGCGCGCAAGCGCCGGTGCCTTGGGAACGCCGCCCTGGGCTCGCGGGCGCGGAGTCGTCGCGGGCGCCCGCCCTTGTGACGACCGCCTCCAGGTACCCCGCCGGTCGCATGCGGCACGTCCTCGCCGTCGTGGGCGGCGCGGTCGCGCGGAGCACGCAGCACCGGCTGCGGGCCCTGGGGAGCGTCTGGGAGGCGCCGTTTGCGGAATCCCGGGCCGAGCTCGTCCAAGGTCCGCCGATCCCGAGTCTCGTGCCGCTCGCGCGCGCGGGTGTCGACCCGAGCTGCCGCGCGCGACAGGCGCGGCGCTGTGCGATCGCTGGTGCGACGCGTCCGCCGACCTCACGGCCTCGTGGACCGGCGACGGCGACGTCCGGCCCTGGGACGGCGCGCCGTACCGCGACGACTTCGCCGCCGGCCTGAGCGCCCGCCTCGGCGACGTGCTCGCGCTCCTGACGACGAGCGAGGAGCTCGCGCGCCTCCGTCCTCGGCCCGCGCCGCCCCACCTCGCCGCCGCCCGCGCGCGCTCGCGGACGCGGATTGCACCCGGCCCCGCGCGCAGTCGACGACGAGGCCGGCGTGCCGGGGCCGCGCGGCGGCCCGCGCGACGACGGCCCGGCGGCCGCGCCGGCGTCGTCGCCCGCCGCCGCGGGGCCGTCCCTCGCTAAGCACTTCGCCGGCCTGCAGCCCCTCCTGTACAACCGGCACACGGACCCGCGCTGGCGGCGGGCCGTCGCCGAGTACGAGAAGGCGCTCGGCCCCGTTGACGCGCGTCGCGCCGCGCTCCTCGCGCGCGCGCGCGCCGAGGCTGTGGGGCGCAGGCGCGCATCGCGGCCAACTTCCGGCGCAAGATCGCGCCGCTCCTCGACGCGCCGCACGCGCTCCTCGCGGAGTTTCGGCGGTTCCGCCAGCTTCTGGCGCGCCCCCAGATCCGCGATGGGCTCGCGCGCGAGCGCGAGGCGCTCCTCCGGCAGCTCGTTGATTCGCTCGAGTCGACGGCGGAGGCGTTCGACGGCTTCATCCAGGCGGCGCGCCGCCGCGTCCCTCGGCCCGCCGGCGGCCGCGCGCCGGGCCCGAGCCGCGCCGCAGGCCGCGAGCGACGCCGGCTGGTTCAGCGCCGGGACGCTGGGCCCGCACGTGAGCGGCGTCGTCAGCGCGCGCCAGGTCGCCGCGCGCGTCCGCGAGATGACGGCGCATGCGGCGGCGCTCTTCGGCGACCTCCGCGGGTGCGCGGACCTCGACGGCCTCGGCCGCGACCTCGCGACGCGGTGCCGCAAGACCGAGCAGGAGCTGCTCGCCGCGTGGGCCGCCGAGGTCAAGGCGGCGCTCACGGGGGGCGAGGCCGGCATGCGCATGAAGGGCCAGCTCATGGAGATCTCGAGGGACGGCGCGCGGCCCGCGTGCGGGCGCGCGCGCGCGCGCCGCGCGGCGGGCCACGCGACGACGCGCGCCAGGCGTCCTCAACGTCAACTACTCGTCGCGGCTCGTCCAGCTCCTCCGAGAAGTGCGCCAGCTCGGCGAGCTCGGCGTCGCCGTGCCCCCGAAGATCAGGAAGGCCGCCGAGGAGGGCGAGCGCTACTACCGCTTCGGCGTCCTCCTCAAGAAGGTCGCCAACTTCTTCAACCACATGGAAGCGCGCATCCTCAAGACGCAGCGACCCATGCTCCTCAACGCCCTCGTGGCCTTCGAGGAGCTCGTGGAGAAGCGCGACGGCCGCGGCGCCGCCATCGAGTGGACGACGCCGACCGAGTGCGAGCACTACGTCGAGCGCCTCCAGCGCGGCCGCCGCGTCCCTCGTCCCGCGGAGGCGCGGGGGCGGTGGCGGTCGGCGGCGCAAGGGGGCGACGCCGCGGCCCCGCGCGCGCCGCAGGCGCGCGGCCGCCAAGCTCGCACACGAGAACCGCGCGCTGCGCCAGCCCGAGCGGCGAACGGCCGGCACCCCGGGGGATCCCGACCGCACGCCGACGCTCGCGGTCGGTCGTGGCGGACGCCGCCCCGGCCGACGGTCCGGCGGGCGGTCGCCCCCCAGCCGGGCCCGCGACGGGGCGCCGTCGCCGGCGCGCGGGGACGGGCGCGCCGTCCCGCGTCAGCGTCGACCCCGGCGCGCGGCGCCCGCGCAGGCGCCGCGTGCACGACGCGCTCGGCCGATCGCTCGCGGCGCTCATGGACGTCGACCTGCTCAAGGCGCGGTCCACGTGGAAGCAGCTGTGGCAGGACATGCAGCGGCAGGTCGGCGCGCTCGCGGAGCGCTACCCGCCGGACCGCATGCGGCGCTGGGTCGAGCACTGGGACCGCCAGGTGTACAAGGCGCTCGAGGCGGCGTACTGCACGGGCCTCGAGACGCTCGACGAGTCGCTGTCGCTCCCGGAGAGCCTCCGCGTCGAGCTCGGCTTCGCCGGCGGCACGGAGGCGCGTGGGCTCGCGTTCACGCCGAGCCTCGAGGAGCTGCGCTCCGTCTACTACCGCGAGCTCAAGAAGTTCGTCTCCGTGCCCCAGGCCTTCCGGGGACTCACGGGCGCGAACGCGGCCATCTACGACGCCATGGCCGCGCGGAACACGCCGTCGCTCGTGCGCGTCTACGTCAAGGCGGAGCTCCTCTTTGCGAAGCTCGCCGCGCTCCTCGAGCAGCACGAGCCGTGGGGGCGCCTCATCGCGTGCGGGGACCTCGACGGCCTCGTCGAGCGGTGCTGCGGGAGCCCCCGGGCCTACGAGGCGCACTTCCGGGCGCTCCGGGCGAAGCGGCGCGACGCGGAGAGGCTCCCCGACAGCGCCAAGGTCGACTGCGTCCGCGTGTCGCTCGCGCCGCTCAAGGCCGGCCTCGAGGACCACTTCCAGCGCGTCCACGAGGCGCTCCTCCTCGTGCTCAAGCGCACCGTCGCCGACGACATCCGGGACGTCGAGGCGTTCCTCGGCGAGTCCATCGAGCGGCTCGCGGCGCGGCCCCAGTCCGTGGAGGACATCGCCGTCGCCCAGCGCCACTGGCGCGACATCGACGCGTCGCGCGAGGCGCTCCGCGCCAAGAGCCGCGGCCTCGTCGACTTTGGCGCGCTCCTCGCGTCCCACGCGGCCGGCTCGGCCGTCGACGGCGCGGACCTCGCGGCGCGGACCGTCGGCCTCGAGCCCCGGTGGGCGGCGTTCGACGACCAGATGGAGGCCTTCAACGAGATGATCGAGATCCAGAAGGAGTCCCTCAAGGTGCGCCTCGAGGAGCAGGTCATCGAGCAGAACCAGGCCATCGACAAGTTCGCGGAGCGGTGGCGCGCGCTCCGGCCCGCGGAGCTCCGCGACTGGGACGCGGCGAGCGTCGCGCGGACGTTCGACGAGCTCGACGAGTGGCGCGCCCAGCTCGAGGACTTCAAGGAGCGGGCGGCGGAGCTCGGCGAGAACTTCGCGAGCTTCCACATGCCCGCGGCGCCGCGCTTCGACGGCCTCGCCGTCGTCGAGGTCGAGATCGAGGCGACGGCCGGGAGCTGGCGCATGCTCCGCGACTACCTCCGCGAGCTCGGCGAGCTCGAGGCCATGGACTGGATCGGCTTCCGCAGCGACATCTTCGCGCTCCAGGACCTCGCCGCGCGCTGGGGCGAGCGGCTCAAGGAGCGCTACGCCGCGGGCGGGGGGGCGCACGACGCCGTCCTCGCGCACCTCGGCGGCGCGCTCGACGCGATCAAGGCCGCGGCGCCCGCGCTCAAGTACTGCCACGGCAAGGACTTCAAGGAGGAGCACTGGAGCGCGCTGCTCCAGGGCAAGCTGGGCCTCGGCAAGGACGTCCGCCTCGAGACGCTCACCGTCGGCCACTTCACGTCCGCGCGCGCCGGCGCGCGGCCCGCCCCCGCGGCCGGGCGCCGGGAGGGGCGGCGGGGCGCCCCGGGGACGCCCCGAGAGGCCGTCGCCCGTCCGGACCGGGGGCGGGAGGCGCGGGGGTCGGCCGGGGCGGACTCGGGCGGCGGGCCTCGGACGCCGCGGGCCGCGCGCCCCCGCGCCAGGCGATCGCCGTGCTCGGCGACCCGAGCCTCGTGCCCTTCGTCAAGCAGCTCCAGGCGCAGGCCCAGGGCGAGGTGCTCATCCGCGAGGCGCTCCAGGAGCTCGCTGTCCGGGGCAGCGTCGGCGCACGGGCGCCTGCGTAGCCGCCTACGAGGCTACGTAGCCTCGGCTCGAGCCTCTGGAGCCTACGCAGGCACCGCCCTCTGACGGGCGACGTGGGCGCCTACGCGCCTGCGTCGCCTCGTCCGGAGCCGACGGACCTACGACCTATTGCGACCTATGCGCCCTCGCAGGTCTGGAGCAGCACGGCGACGCTCACGCTCGTCTCGCACGAGGAGATGGGGCGGAGCACGATGCTCATCAAGGACTGGAAAGACCAGTTCCTCGACCTCGGCGACAAGCAGTCGCTCCTCGCGAGTCTCCGCGAGTCGCCCTTCTACCGCGCGTTCGAGGACGTCGGCGCGCGCGCGGCGTCCCGCGGTCCACGGGTCTTTTTTCGCGTGCGGGATCGAGAGGGGGGCCGGGGTGGGCAGGGGGAGATGTTGGGGCCTCGCGGGTCGGAGTTTTTTTCGGTGTGTAGAGGGCGCGTTTGGCAACGCGGGTCGACGATTTGCACATTTGGCGACTTGGGCCGGCGATTTCTATGATGCGTTCGGCTATTTGGCAACTTGGGCCGGCGATTTCTATGATGCGTTCGGCTATTTGGCAACTTGGCCCGGCGATTTCTATGATGCGTTCGGCTATTTGGCAACTTGGGCCGGCGATTTCTATGATGCGTTCGGCTATTTGGCAACTTGGGCCGGCGATTTCTATGATGCGTTCGGCTATTTGGCAACTTGGGCCGGCGATTTCTATGATGCGTTCGGCTATCATGACTACACATCGGGAGATGGTATGAATGGCTCGATTTGGCCTGGTGGCTATTATGACTACACATCGGGAGATGGTATGAATGGCTCGATTTGGCCCGGTGGCTATTATGACTACACATCGGGAGATGGTATGAATGGCTCGATTTGGCCTGGTGGCTATTATGACTACAATTCGGGAGATGGTATGTATGGCTCGATTTGGCCTGGTGGCTATCATGACTACACATCGGGAGATGGCATGTATGGCTTGGTTTGGCCCGTTTTCGGCTTGGCCGTGCTATCCTGCATGGCTTTCACCAGTCGCTTGATGTGGTGTTTTGCTTTATCGATTTCAGTTTGTTTCGAATGAAGCGAACGAAGCACATCTCGCGTCTGCTGCTCTTGAGTTTCTAAATTCGTGTGCAGCGAACTAATAGTTTCATCTTTCGATGCGAGTGCGTCGCGCAGCTGTTCAAGCTCGCTATTCAACGATGCGATGGTTGCCTCTTTTGTTGTGAGGTCGGCAGTCAGCTGGGCATTAGCTGCTGTCAAATTGGCAAGTTCTGTAGGAGGTTCGACAGTGTATGCTGCGAATCGATCTATCACGTCATCAATCATTTCATCATCAAATTCAGCATCATTTATATCGGTATCAGTCCCCTCAAGAGAAGTTCTAGGAGCGTGTGGAACGGTTGCGACGATAGATGCGGGCACCGCATTCGATGCAGCTGCGGCATCATCATCATCATCTTTCATTTCATCATCATCATCGTGTGACGGCGCAGGAGCTCCGTCATCACCATTATTAAAATTCAATCGTTGAGGATTAGGACGTTGTTTTGGAAGCCACGCCTCATCATCATCACCTGCCTTTTCGGGCGTCAATTCGGTCGCGAAGCATTGATCGCAAGTGAACAATTTGCCAATCGTGGCATCGAGGCAGGCTATATGTGCTACACTTAGACAACCCTTTCGATGGTTCTTGCATAAGATTAGTTTACCTTCCCCAGAAACGATTGCCTTCTCACAAACCGCGCAGACATCTTCGGCTACATCGTTTGAGCACGGCCGGTCCGGCGAATCGAGCGAATCAGGCGGCGGAGGCTCCTTGCGTTTTCTGAGAATGGATTGTTCAGGGGACACTTCAGTCTCTTCAGGACTGGGAGGAGCAGGCACGGATCCAAGCATTGGCCAAACCAAATGCGCCGGATGTTTATTGCCCACATTGTCGCTTGGCGGGAAGCGCTTGAGGACTTCATCGCGAATGAGCACCCCGTGGTAGTCTCCCTCAATCTCGCAGACTTTGCCAACCAAGTCAAAGCGCTTCAGCAGAAAATCCATAACTTGAACTGCAACGACGCGGTCAGCTGGTTTATTCAGCGCTCGCTCGACTTGATCTCTGAATTTGCGAATATCTCTCTTTTCTGTTAAAGAGTGGAAGTGTTTGATGCCGCCCAGACGTATAGCATGTCGATTCATTTCAGGATAAAAATAAGCCTACGCGACGAAAAATCGAAGCGTGTCGATGGATGTAATTAGAGAGAAGGACGACGATCTCACCGAGTCCCGGCCGTTTTTAACGGATAGAACCTTATTACAGACGCACCACACCAGGGCAGGACTTGCTACAATACCGTCAATAAATAATGCTGGTATTTTCCATATCTCCAAATCAGTGACCGCATCTCGATCAGGTGAGTCTGAATTCATCTCATCCTGTGAAGGCATGGCAAGTGGCTCACTGGTTCACATGGACATGGGGACATGGTGGCTCACCTTCTTTTCTTCCTCCATTGGAATGTCGTGATCGTGACGACGTAACAATGCCAGGAACGCCAGGAACGCGGCTTTGAAATGTCACCGGTTCAGCGACTCATCTGTGTTGGCGAGGCACTCCAAAGCTACTTTAGCCAAGTCTAGTGGCAAATTCTGTTGTGATCATTCAGCATCTGCCGCTCGCTCAATCTCGCACCGATTTAAATTTGATTCGGCGTGTGCTTGCACTCAACTGGACTCGAGATTAAGAACATCTTACTCACCAAAAACACCTGCATCAGCACGCGTGACTCGCATAAACCTTGATCACCTGTCATCCCACACAAAGTCAACATTTGCCACAGCGCAACGCAGATCTCACACCACCTAGCGTGAAACAGACGTCCAGCGAGCCAAATGGACGGTCCTGCGGTCGACGAAGGCGAACAGGCTCCCTCTGGGGGACCGCCTCCGCCGTCGAGCGCTGCGGTGACAGCGAACGATCTCGAACCATTCGAAAAATACAGGCAAGATATGTATGAGTCTGACTCAGACGACGACGACGAAGGAGAAGGCTACACTGACGACGGAATTAGCCACGGCGACGAGTCTGACGAGAATGATGACGACTTTTCACCTGTAAAAACCCATGAACTGTCCGCCACGCCCGTAGAAGGTGGCACACCAGCGAGCGATCCTGACAATGTTTGGAACGGCAATAATGATAGTGAGTATGGCGCTCCGAATGATCCACCGCTGCCCGATTCGATGCTTGGTTGCCTGTCTGAAGGTTTCCCGACCTTGAATGGTCAAAGCACGCCTGCGGCGGCCGCCGCAGCACCCCCGGCTCCGGATCCGGCTCCGGTTCCAGCGGCGGAGGCCTCTGACGAGGTTGGAGCGGCACAGCCACGGATTGCGGCAATACCTGCTGTGCCAACAGCAGCTGCGCTGCTCAATTCTGGGCTACATGACGATCGCATCATGCGTGAACTTGCGCTCGGCAAGAGCTGCCTCGAAATTGCCAAATTATTGACCGATGAATCTGAGTCCACCGCCACCGTGGGACCAAATGATGTGCTACAGCGGCTTCGATCTGTGCAACCTTCGTATGGCAGATATGCAACAATCGGTGCGGCGGAAGGTCTTTTTGTTGGCCCGGCACGAATCCGCGATTTGTGCAGGCCCTATGGCGGTGGAGTGTCTACGACTACGGTGACAAATGTGAATATGAGGGATGACAAGCTTGGTTTCTGTCCTAAACGCTATACGGCACATGTGGAAGATCTTGTACTGCGAGCTATGAACGATGGTGGTGGACTCAAACAGGACCTGCGCGCACGGGCGATGGCGGGGCACGACAACGCACGCCTTATCATCTTCGAACTTGTCTGTCTTGCTACGGGGGCACGGGATAGTTTCTTTCTCGAAGAAGTCGCCCCCTTGTTGCAGCACAATGGAAAGCCGACGACGGTAGTCGTGGAAGAACCATTGTCGGAGCTTGTTGGCGACTGGCGTCAAGTGGGCAGTGCTCATCTCCATAACTTGAACGAGCGTGGAAACCAGGCATCATTAAAACACATCGCCGATGATCAATTAATTTGTCTCCGAGACCATAAAGCTCGATTTGTCAAGGACGGTAAAAACTCGCTGTCGGCCCGCTTGGTGGCGGTTCCCCGGGGCATTTTAGATGCGGCCGGAGGACGAGCGAACCTCGTGCGTTTCTTGAACGAGTGCATCGCGGCGATGGTGGACCTCAACCTCGACACGGATGACGCCGCGGAATTATCAGAGCTGGCATCCAACGCGACCCTCGTGACCATCTGCCCCCTGGTGCAGCTCTGCGGGCGGGATTTTCGTCCCGCCCGCAAAGGCGCTCAGAAGATGTCCATGTTGCGTCACGTCTTTGCGAAATGGCAAATCGACATGATCTTCCGCTGCGATGATTTGGAGCTGCCTGCCAACGACTCCGCGCGGCATTATCTGGTCTACAACTTCGTCTTGTGCCACCGGACGGCGCGTCTCGTCAAGGCATTCAGTCCCGACTTTGTCATGGTTCGAGACTGGCGATCCGTCTACGAGGTCGAAGCCAAGAATGGACAAAGCGCGCGCCTCATCGGCGATTCTATGAAGGATACCTACGACCGTGCCAAAGTTGTGCGGTCTGAAACAGGCAGCCACTGAGCGAATCGCAACACGTGCTTTGGGTGTCACAGCTCCTTTGATGACGCTTCCACGCGCATCGCGTGGCGCCTCGCGACCGCTGGCACGCATCTGCGCGCTGCGGTGACCTTTTTACATTACTACCATGGCTGCAAACGCAAGCTACATTTCCCTACCTTTGTTCCGTGAGATGGACGCTTCCGCACGTGTCGTGTGGCGCCTCGCGACCGCTGGCACGCATCTGCGCGCTGCGGCGATCTTCACACATTACCACCATGGCCGCAAACGCAAGCTACACTTCCCTACCTTTGTTCGCGCATGGTACTAATGATCTCTCTCGCCGGCACGCATCTGCGTGCTGCGGTGATCTTCCCATTACCACCATGGCCGCAAACGCAACCTACACGCATCTGCGCGCTGCGGCGATCTTCACACATTACCACCATGGCCGCAAACGCAAGCTACACTTCCCTACCTTTGTTCGCGCATGGTACTACTGATTTCTCTCGCCGGCACGCATCTGCGCGCTGCGGTGATCTTCACATTACCACCATGGCCGCAAACGCAAGCTACGTTTTCCTACCTTTATTCGCGCATGGTAATAATCATGTCTCTTTACATCATTTCGCTGGCACGCATCTGCGCGCTGCGGTGAAACTCATGTCTCTTTACATCATTTCGCTGGCACGCATCTGCGCGCTGCGGTGATCTTCACATTACCACCATGGCCGCAAGCGCAAGCTACGGTCTAATTATTTCTCTTCACATCACTTCTTAGCTGGAAACGCCCATCTCGCCGCCGCTCCCGGCCGCCGGCGGCGGCGCGCTTCGGCACGAGGGGGCCCGTCCGCGTCGATCGCCCGCCGCCGCCGCGCGGCGCTCGACCCCCCCCCGCGCGCGCAGGCGCGTCGTACGAGACCAAGATGTCGCACCTCGACTTCATCCTCCACGCGCTCAACGGGATCCAGCGCAAGTGGGTCTACCTCGAGCCCATCTTCGGCCGCGGCAGCCTCCCCAACGAGGCCAAGCGCTTCAAGAGCGTCGACGAGGACTTCCGCGACATCATGCGCAACGTCGAGGCGGACCCGAAGCTCTTTGGCCTCGTGGACCCGCACGTCCACCGCGACATCCGCCGGACGCTCGAGACCATGCTCGACCAGCTCGACCGGTGCCAGAAGGCGCTCAGCGACTTCCTCGAGGAGAAGCGGTCCGCGTTCCCGCGGTTCTACTTCATCGGCGACGACGACCTCCTCGAGATCCTCGGCCAGGCGAAGAACCCGGCGGTGATCCAGAGCCACCTGAAGAAGCTCTTCCAGGGCGTCTCGCGCGTCGTCTTTGACGACGCGAAGACGACGATCACGGCCATGGTCTCGGCGAGCGGCGAGGTCGTCGCCCGTGTGGGAATCAAACCTTCAAGCCGACTTCAATGTGCGCGTATGCGACTGTTTCGACGCGGGACTTGCCGCCGCGCTTCGAGAACTCGACGAGAGCCATCGATTCGTCCAAAAGTCAGCCGAATCGACTTCGATGCGACCGAGATGGAGCGTTCCGAAGTTTGGCGGGGACCCCCCGAACCGGCGGTTGGAATCCACGCAGGTCGTCGACCTCGAGACCGGCGTCGCGACGTCGGACCGCGTCGAGGAGTGGCTCGCGACGTTCACGGACGAGATGAAGGCGACGCTCGCGAGCCTCCTCGCGAACTACCTCGCCGCGCTCGCGCGCGCGGCTGTGTGCAAATCAAATCTTCAACCCGACTTCAATGTGCGCGTATGCGAATGCTTTGACACGAGCACTCCCGCCGTGCTTCGAGAACTCGCTAAGAGCAATCGATCCGTCCAAAAATCAGCCGAATCGACGTCGATGTGACCGAGCTCGAGAGTTTCAAAGTGTGGTCGGGACGTCCCAGCTCACCGGTCGATTTGCACACAGGCGCGCGGGCGAGGCCGACTTCGAGGCGTACCCGTCCCAGGTGCTCTGCGTCGGCGAGCTGGTCCGCTTCGCCGACAGCGTCGAGGCGGGCCTCGACGGCGGCCTCGGCGACATGGCCGCGCGCGCGCGCGCGCAGCTCGAGACGTACACGGGCCAGGACCTCAGCGGCATGCCCGTGACGCAGCTCAAGGTCAAGGCGCTCGTCATGGACCTCGTCCACAACATGGACGTGCTCGACCAGCTCGACCGCGCGCGGTGCCGCGACGCGCACGACTGGGCCTGGCACAAGCAGCTCCGCTACTACGTCGGCGCGGCCGGCGGCGCCGAGGTCCGCATGTCCGACGGGTCCTTCCGCTACACGTACGAGTACCAGGGCAACGCGGGCAAGCTCGTCCACACGCCCCTGACGGACAAGTGCTACCTCACGCTCACGCAGGGCATGCACATGGGCTTCGGCGGCAACCCCTACGGCCCCGCGGGCACGGGCAAGACCGAGTCCGTCAAGGCGCTCGGCAACGCGTTCGGCCGCCAGGTCCTCGTCTTCAACTGCGACGAGGGCGCCGACCCCGCGTCGACGCCCCGTCTTCGACCCGACTCGAGCGGGAGCGCCGTCGGACGCGCCCGACCGGCCCCTCCGGCTCCGCGTCGAGAGCTCGACGAGAGGCGGCGCGGCGTCGGACCGCCGCCCGGAGCGACGCGGACGCGACCGAGCCCGAGAGTCCGCGCGCCCGGCCGCGACGTCGCGGCCCACCGGCGGCGTCCCGCGCAGGCATCGACTTCCAGTCCATGGGCCGCATCTTCATCGGCCTCGTCAAGTGCGGCGCCTGGGGCTGCTTCGACGAGTTCAACCGGCTCAAGGAGGACCAGCTGAGCGCCATTAGCCAGCAGATCCAGCTCATCCAGGACGCGATCAAGGGCCACATCCCCGTGCTCCGGCTCCTCGGCCGCGACGTCGACGTCGACTTTGACGCGGGCATCTTCGTCACGCTCAACCCGGCGGGCAAGGACTACGGCGGGCGGAGCCAGATCCCCGACAACCTCAAGGCGCTCTTCCGGCCCGTGGCCATGGGGCGGCCGGACAACGAGCTCATCGCGCAGGTCTACCTCCAGGCCGAGGGCTTCACGCGCGCGCGCGACCTCGCCGTCAAGGTCGTGTCGCTCTTCGCGCTGTCGCGCCAGCTCCTCACGCCGCAGCGCCACTACGACTGGGGCCTGCGCGCGCTCAAGGCCGTGCTCAACACGGGCGGCAAGCTCGTGCTCGACGCGCGCGGCGCGGGCGGCGGCCTGCCGCCGGCCGCCGAGGGCGAGCTGCTCATCAAGGCCGTCCGCGTGAACACGCCCTCGAAGCTGACCTTCGGCGACACGGCGCGGTTCCTGGCGCTCATCGGCGACGTCTTCCCCGGCGTCGCGTCCGGCGACGTCGCCGGCGGCGCGCTCGAGGTCGCGATCCGCGACGTCATGGCGAGCGACGCGTTCCGCCTCACCGTCGACGAGGCCCAGGTCCGGAAGATGCTCCAGCTCAAGGAGGCGCTGGACCAGCGCATGGGCTGCGTCGTCGTCGGGCCGAGCGGCTGCGGCAAGTCGACGGTCTGGCGCGCGCGCGCCGGCGCGGCAACCGACCGCCGCGTCCGGGCGTCCCGACCGGACGTCGCGCGCGCCGGGCGCCGTCGCGCCCCCGGGCGGGCGCGCGCCCCTCGCCGAGCGCGCGACGGCGGGCGCCCCGAGCGTCGCCGACGCCGTTCGGACGCGCGCGCGCCGACGCCGGGCCGGACGGCCGGGTCCCGCGCAGGTGCTCCAGGCCGCGCTCGCGAAATGCGGCACGACGGTGAAGACGCACGTCGCGATCCGCGCGGACGCCGGCCGTTCCGCCCGACTTCGACGTAGGCTCGTTCGACCGCGTCGGCGCGGGGTCTCGCGCTCCGCGCGGAGAGCTCGACGAGAGGGAACGACTCGCCCGGGAACCGGCCGAATCGACGTCGATTCGACCGAGACGGAGCGTTTCGAAGTTCGGCGGACGCCCGAACCGGCGGCCGACGTCCGCGCAGGTCATGAACCCCAAGTCGATGCCGCGGCAGCAGCTCCTCGGCGAGATGGACCTGGACACGCGCGAGTGGAGCGACGGCGTCCTCACGGACGCGGCGCGCGCCGTCGTCCGCGAGCCGCCGGAGGTGCGGTCGTGGATCGTCTGCGACGGCGACGTCGACCCGGAGTGGATCGAGTCGCTCAACTCCGTGCTCGACGACAACCACCTCCTCACGCTCCCCAACGGCGAGCGCATCGCCTTCGGCGACAACGTCAACTTCCTCTTCGAGACGCACGACCTCCGGTTCGCGTCGCCCGCGACCGTGTCGCGCATGGGCATGATCTTCCTCAGCGACGAGGACATCGACACGCGGCGCGTCGTGACCCGGTGGCTCCTGGGGCAGGACGCGGACCTCCGGCCGCGCCTCGAGGGCTGGCTCGACGACCTCTTCTACCGCGCGCTCGACTACGTCGTCGCGCTCGGCGCGTTCGTCGTCGAGACGACGCTCGTCGGCACCGTGCTCAACGGCCTCGGCGGCGTCGGCGGCGCGACGAGCAAGCTCGCCTTCGTCGCGGGCCTCGTGCGCGGCCTCGGCGGCAACCTCGGCGTCGGCGACCGCACGGCCTTCGCCAAGGAGGTCTTCGCGTGGGCCGGCGAGCGGCCGCCGGACCTCGGCGCGCCCCTCGACTGCGACTGCGAGCCCGGCGGCGACCGGCTCTTCCCCTACGCGGCGCGCTGCGGCGGCGTCGCCGGCGGCGACGGGGAGGCGCCGACGCTCGAGAGCGTCATCGAGACCGTGTCGACGCAGCGGACCATGGCCATGCTCCGGCCCATGGTCGAGGGCGGCGCGCCCTTCGTCGTCGTCGGCCCCGAGGGCTGCGGCAAGAACCTCATGATCCGCCACGCGTTCGCCGCGCGCCGCAAGGTCGGCGTCGCGACGCTCCACTGCTCCGCGCGCACGGACGCGAGCCACGTCATCGCCAAGATCGGCCAGTGCTGCAGCCTGTTCTCCGCGCCCGAGGGCCGCGTCTACCGGCCCCGCGACTGCGAGCGCCTCGTGCTCTACCTCAAGGACCTCAACCTGCCGCGGCCCGACGCGTACGACACGTGCATGCTCATCGCGTTCCTCCAGCAGCTCGTCACGTTCCGCGGCTTCTACGACGCGAGCCTCGAGTTCCTGCGCCTCGAGCACGTGCAGATCGTCGCGTCGATGAACCCGGCGACGACGGTCGGGCGCCACCCGCTGTCGACGCGCTTCACCGCGACGGTCCGCGTCTGCGTCCTCGACTACCCCGACACGGCGGAGCTCACGGCGGTCTACGCGGAGCTCCTCGAGATCGCCCTCGACGCCGCGGGCGCGCGCGGCGGCGACGCGGCGGCCGCGAACCTCGCGCCCTTCTCCAAGCCCGGCGAGCGCGAGAAGCTCGCCGCGACGCTCGTCGAGGTCTACGAGCGCGTCAAGGCGACCTTCGTCGTCGACGACGCGCGCCACTACCTCTTCACGCCGCGCGACCTCAGCGCGTGGGTCTCGAACCTGCTCCGCTACGACCTCGCGAGCGAGGACCTCCTCAACGTCGTCGCCTACGAGGGGCTCCGGCTCTTCAAGGACCGCATGGTCGACGCCGACGCCGAGGCCAAGCTCGACGGCATCCTCGGCGGCGTGCTCCGGAGCCGCTGGCGCTTCGTGCCCGCGCTCGACGGCGTCCACTTCACGACGCTCGCGGCGGGCGCGATCGGCGCCAAGGGCGGCGGCGGCGGCGGCGCGGCGCCCCTGCTCCGCCGCGTCGAGACCGCCGAGTTCCGCGCCGTCGTCGGCAAGGGCGTCGACTACTACGAGCGCGAGAACGCGGAGCTCCGCATGCTCCTCTTCGACCGCGTGCTCGACCACGTCGCGCGCGTCGACCGCGTCATCTCGCGGCCCGGCGGCAACCTGCTCCTCATCGGCCGCTCCGGCGTCGGCCGGCGCACGGCCGTCCGGCTCGTCGCCTACATGCGCGGCTACGCGTTCGTCGGCCCGACGGCGGTCCGCGCCGACGACGACGACGCGGTGAAGCACTTCCGGTCCGAGCTCAAGCCCGCGCTCCAGACCGTCGCCGTCGAGGGCCAGGAGGCCGTCTTCTACGTCGAGGACCACCACTTCGCCGTCGGCGCGTGCCTCGAGCTCGTCAACTCCGTGCTCTCCGCGGGCGCGGCCCCGGGCCGGGACCGGCCGGCGCTCCGGGCCGCGCGTCGGAGCGCGCCGTCGAGTCGACGTCGCCCGGGCCGGCGCTCGGACGAGCGATCCCCCGGCGAACCCGCGACGGGGCGCCCGGGGGGGCGTCGGACGACGACGACGCGCGCGCCGACGTCGGGGCGAGACGACGGCGCGCCGGGGGGCGGGCGCGTCCGACGACGCGCGCGTGCCGACGTCGGGGCGAGAGGCTCGTCCGCCGCGCAGGCGAGGTCCCGGGCCTCTTCGGCGCCGACGAGCTCGAGGGCCTCTTCGCGCAGCTCCGCGAGCCCATGGCCGACGAGGGCACGGCGCTGAGCCCCTACGAGTTCTTCGTCGCCCGCGTCCGCGCGCGGCTCCACGTCTGCGTCGCCATGGACCCGACGAACGACGCGTTCGCCGCGCGCGGCGCCGACGAGGGGTGATTCGACGCCGCCCCCGGGACTCGAGGGTTTCGCGGGGACGTTCGCGAGAGCGCGCGCGCGCGCTTCGAGGGCGGTCCCGGCGGCGATCGCCCGTCCGAACGCGGAGCCGAATCGAGCGGCGACCGGCCGCGGCGGCAACCCCCCGCCGCCGCGCATCGCTCACCCCGCGTCGCCCAGGCCGTGCGCTGCGAGTCGAACCCGGCGCTCTTCACGCGCTGCACGATCCTGTGGATGGGCGCGTGGCGCCGCGACACGATGCGCGCGGTGCCCGCGATGATGGACGGCGTCCGGAAGCTCATCCTCGCCGACGGCGCCGGCGACGGCGACGACGCGGCCGCGGCCGGCGCGCCGGCGCCGCCGCGCGCCGCGGAGCGCAAGGGCGGCGAGGCCAAGGCCGCGCGCCGCGAGGGCAAGTCGGCCCGCGGCGAGGGCAAGGGCGGCGAGGGCAAGGGCCGGGGCGGCGCCGCGGCGCCCGCGCCCCGCGGCGGCGGCGGCGGCGACGCCGGCGGCGACGTCGACGACCAGCTCCTCGAGGCGATCGCGTCCATGCACGAGTCGGCCGCCGCGGCGTCGCCGCGCGAATTCGTGCTCTTCCTCGAGAACTGGCGCATGCTCCACGACCAGATGCGCGGCGGCATCCGCACGAAGCTCAGCCACCTCTCCGCGGGCCTCGCGAAGCTCGAGGAGGCGTCGGCGACGGTCGACAGCCTCTCGAACAACGCCGAGGTCGAGCAGGCGAAGCTCGTCGAGGCGCAGAAGGGCGCCGACGCGGCCATGGAGATGATCACGAAGACGCTGAGCGAGGCGACGGGCCGCCGCGGCGAGGTCAACGACCTCAAGACCGAGGTCACGCGCCGCGAGGAGCACACGATCAGCCGCCAGGGCGAGATCAAGCAGGAACTCAGCAGCATCCAGCCCGTCCTCGAGACGGCCAAGGCCGCCGTGGGGCAGATCAAGGCCGAGCACCTCAACGAGATCCGGAGCCTCAAGATGCCGCCCGAGCCCATCGCGGACGTCCTCGGCGCCGTGCTCAAGCTCCTGGGCATCAGCGACGTGAGCTGGACGTCCATGAAGAAGTTCCTCGGGAACCGCGGCGTCAAGGACGAGATCCTCAACTACGACGCGCGGCGCATCGGCGGCGAGATGCGCAAGGACGTCGCGCGCCTGCTCAAGCAGAAGTCGACGAGCTTCGACCAGGCGACGATCACGCGCGTCTCCGTCGCGGCCGCGCCGCTCGCGGCCTGGGTCAAGGCGAACATCCGCTACAGCGTCGTCCTCGAGAAGATCCAGCCCCTCGAGGCCGAGCTCGCGCGCGCCGAGGAGGACCTCGCCAAGTGCACGCTCCGGCTCCGCCAGTGCGAGGACGAGATCGCGACGATCGACGACCGCGTCGCCGCGCTCAAGGCCGAGTTCGGCGACAAGACGCGCGAGGCCGAGAAGCTCCGCGCGCGGCTCGCGCTCGCCGAGGGCACGCTCGACAAGGCGCAGCACCTCCTCGGCAAGCTCAGCGGCGAGCAGGCGCGGTGGCAGACGCAGGCCGGCGACCTCCGGTCCGAGCTCGCGAGCCTGCCGCGCCAGCTCCTCGTCGCCGCGGGCTTCCTCACGTACCTGAGCCGCTGCCCCGAGGACGCGCGCGAGGCCGCGCTCGCGGACTGGACGGCCACCGTCGGCCTCGCGGCGTTCGACTTCACGTCGCTCCTCGCGACGGAGTCGCGGCTCCTCGCGTGGAAGCAGGTCGGCCTGCCCGCGGACCCGCTGTCCATGGAGAACGCGCTCGTCGTCGCGCACAACCCGGGCGCGCGCGTGCCCTTCGTCATCGACCCCGCGGACGCCGCGCGCGCGTGGCTCGTCGCGCACTACGGCGGCGACGACGGCCGGCCCCTCGAGGTCCTCCAGAGCGCGGACGCGCGCTTCGGCACGACGGTCGAGCTCGCCGTGCGCTTCGGCAAGACGCTCCTCATCTTCGACGTCGACGCGCGCGCGGCCCGCGCCGCGCCGCCGCGCGAGCGCCGCCGCCGCGCGGACGCCGCCGCGCGCGAACGCCGCCGCGCGGGCCCCTCGAGACCCCCCCCCAGCCCCCCCGCGCGCGCGCCGCAGGCTCGAGCCCGTGCTCTACCCGCTCGCGCGCCGCGACCTGGCCATGAACGGCCCGCGCGCCGTCGTCCGCGTCGGCGACCGCACCGTCGACTTCCACGAGAACTTCCGCCTCGCGCTCGTGACGCGGAACCCGACGCCGGACCTGCCGCCGGACGCGGCGGCGCTCTGCACGCTCGTCAACTTCACGGTCACGCGGAGCGGCCTCGAGGGCCAGCTCCTCGGCGCGACGATCCAGCACGAGGAGCCCGAGCTCGAGACGAAGAAGACGGCGATGCTCAAGCAGGAGGAGGACTACAAGATCAAGCTCGCGGGCCTCGAGACGGACCTGCTCGAGGCGCTCGCCACGGCCGAGGGCGACCTGCTCGAGAACGCGCTCCTCATCGAGAGCCTCACGCGGACCAAGGAGGCGAGCCGCGAGATCTCGGACGCGCTCGCGGCGTCGGCCGAGGCGTCCGCGACGCTCGACGCGCGCCGCGAGGCGTACCGCGGCTTCTCGCGCGACGGCAGCCGGCTCTACTTCCTCGTCCGCGACCTCGTCCTCGTGAACCCCATGTACCAGGTGTCGCTCGCGTCGTTCGTGCGCCTCTTCGAGGCCGCGCTCCGCGACGGGTCCGTCGCCGCGGACGGCGCGCTCGACGATCGCCTCGCGCGGCTCACGCCGCTCCTCGAGCGCCTCGCCTTCTTCTTCGTGGGCCGCGGCCTCTTCAAGGCCGACCGCTGCATGTTCGCGCTCCACGTCGTCCACGGCATGCACGCGGAGCACTTCCTCGACCACGAGTGGGAGCTCTTCACGGGCGAGCTCGCGGCCGACGGCGCGGGCGACGCGCCGCCGGACGCGGCCGGCGGCCGCCGCGGCCGCGGCGACGGCGACGGCGACGGCGCCGGCCGGCGGCCCCGGGGCCTCCCGGCGTGGGCGGGCCTCGACCGCGCGCCCGCGTTCGCGAACATGGCCGCGCACCTCGGCGGCCTCGTGCGCCGCCTCGACCTCGAGAACGCCGCGCGCTGGTCGCGCTGGGCGCGGAGCCCCGAGTGCGAGCGCGACTTCCCGCCCGAGGCCGTCCGCGAGTGCACGCCCTTCCAGCGCGTGCTCGTCACGCGCTGCTTCCGGCCCGACCGCCTCATGTCCGCGCTCAGCGCCTTCGCCTGCGAGGTCCTCCGCGTGCCGTCGCTCAGCCCGCCGCCGCTGAGCTTCGCGACGCTCTACGAGACGGAGACGGAGGCGCGGACGCCGACGCTCCTCATCACGACGGCCGGCGCGGACCCGAGCCGAGGCGCCGCGCGAGCCGAGGGGCGCGCGCGCCCCGGCGGCCGGGATCCGCGCGGGCGATCGCGCCTCCCGAGTCGGTCGCGCGCGGCGCGCGGCGCGCGGGCCCCGCGGTCCCGTCCCGCGCGCGGGACGCGGGCTCCTCTCCTAGGCGCGGACCCGAGCAAGGAGCTCGCCGACTTCGCCGCGTCCGTCGTCGGCGCGGACCGCTACACGTCGCTCGCGATGGGCGGCGGCACGCACGACCTCGCGATGTCGCTGCTCGCGGACGCGTCCGCCGCGGGCACGTGGCTCTGCTTCCAGAACCTGCACCTCGTCGTCGCTTGGCTGCCGGCGCTCGAGAAGGCGCTCGCCGGCGTCGAGCAGAGATGTGTGTCGCGCGATCATCGCCCGGGAAGGCGGAGACGTCCGGACCCCGTCGCCCCCGGTAGGCGCTCGCGGCGCTCGCGCCCAACGAGGGCTTCCGTCTCTGGCTCACGACGGAGCCGCACCGCGCGGTCCCGCGACGGGCGACGGGGAGTTTCTTTCTCGCGCGCGAAGCGGCGATCCGTCGCCGTCGCTCCTCGTAGGCGCGTTCCCGCGCGTGCTCCTCCAGCAGGCGCTCAAGGTCACCTTCGAGTCGCCGCCGGGCACGAAGAAGAACGTGCAGCGGACGCTCGCGATCTGGGGCCGCGAATTCTTCGAGCGCGGCGAGCGGCGCCGGCCGATGCTCCTCCTCTGCCTCGCCGTCTCCCGCGGCGTCGCTCCAAAGGTGCCGACGTCGGCAGCCCCCGCGAGGCTCCGTAGCCTCGGCTCGAGCCTCCGGCGCCCGCGTCGGCGCCACGTTCGACGGGTGACGTCGTCGCTCGGGCGGCGTCGACCGGAACCCCCGCGGACCTCCGCGCCCGCGCAGGTCTTCCACGCCATCCTCCAGGAGCGCCGCACCTACATCCCGCAGGGCTGGACCAAGTCCTACGAGTTCTCCGTCGGCGACCTCCGCGCGGGCGCGTTCGTCATGGGCGCCGACCCGCGCGCAAAGGCGGCTCCGACGAAGCTTTGGCCTCGAGGCTTCCGCGCGCCGTCGACTCGGCGGGCGACACTCGGGCCGTCGTCCGGCCCGATCGGCCCCCGCCCCCGCGCTCGAACCGCGCGCGACCCCGCCCCGCGCCGCCGCAGGCGCGACGGCCGCCGCCGCGGGCGACGGCGCCGCGCCGCTCGACCTCGACGTCGTCCACGGGCTCATGGAGGACGCGATCTACGGCGGCCGCGTGGACAACCCCTACGACGCGCGGGTGCTCAAGGCGTACCTGCGGAAGATCTTCAACCAGGACGTCTTCGACGGCCGCGGCGACCTCATGCGGGGCCTCTCGATCCCGCGGCCGTGCGCGTACGACGACGCGCTGGCGGCCGTCGCCGCGCTGCCCGACGGCGACGCGCCCGCGCTCTTCGGCCTGCCGGACAACATCGAACGCAGCGTCCAGCGCACGCAGTCCGCGCACGCGGCCGACCAGCTCCGGGTACGACGCGGCGTCTACGCGCCCGATCGGAGGCGCGACGTCGATCGGGGCGCGCGCGTTCGCGCGCGAAGCACCCGGCGACGTCGGGGGCGTGGCGCCCGATCGCGGGCGAGCTTGTGTTCTTGCACACGCGCATGCGACTTCGGGCGCGTCGCGGAAGCACACAAACGTAGGCCCTCACGCTCGCGCGGGGCGGCGCGCTCCGATTCGACCGCGAGGTCTGGCGCGCGAAGCTCGCGCCGCTTCTCGAACAGTGGGCTTCCCTCGTCGACAAGTACCCGGCCCTTGCAGTCAGTCTCCCATCGTCCGAATTCTTGGCGAAATGAGTCGAGGACTTCACGCCGACTTTTGAGGCCTCGGTCCGAACGGTCGGCGAAACGAGGCGTCGGAGAGCCATCGGCGAAACGAGGCGTCGGTGAACGGTCGGCGAAGCTCGCGACCCTTCGCGGAACTCGTTCATGTTTGGCGAGACGAGGCTCCAGTCCCGCGGCCTCTACTGAATATCGTTATCGTCGGCGATACTCTCGCTTTTCTTTAGCTCGACACCGTTAGGCGCGCGGCGGCGCCAAGGCAACCGAGGCTCCGGCGGGCGCCGTCGACCCCATCGCGGGCTTTGTCGCCATGGAGCGCGCGATCGCCGCGGCCATCACGGCCGAGGTCGCCGCGACGCTCGACGCGCTTCGCAAGGTCGTCTACGGCACCGCGCTCCTCACGCCCCACATCCAGGCCGTCGTTGCCCGGGCCGAACAAACGTGTCGTCTACTTTGAATTTCTCACCCCTTTTCCGTCCAGGTCGCCGCGGCCGTCATGGGCGGCAGCGTGCCGCCATCGTGGTGCAAGCGCTGGGAGGGCCCGGGCAAACCCGCGCCCTGGCTCGCGCTCCTCGCAAGCTCCGGTGCCATGGTCTGCACTCAATTTCGCAACCGCTGGCGACTCTTCCGACGTTGGCGAGACTCGTACCCTTGCTTAGGCGCGCAAGGCATCGGCCATCGCACGCTGGAAGCAGCAGGCCGCAGACGGGAGCCTCCTTGACGCCGAGCTTGACCTCAACGACGTCTTCCGGCCAAGCTCCGGTGCCGAGGCTCTCCCGAGATTTCGTAACTGCTGGCGAAACTTTAAGTTCGACGGAATTAGGCCGCTCACGTTCCTCAACGCGCTCCGCCAGCTCACGGCGCGCAAGGCTGCGTGCCCCATGGACGCGCTCCACCTCGTCTCCGGCTGGTCCAAGGGAGCCATCACGGCGCCGGCGCCAATCGTGGTCAAGGGACTCCTCCTCCAGGGCGCGGAGCTCCAGGGCACGACGCTCGTCGAAGCCGCGACGGACGCGCCGGAGATCGTCCTCATGCCCAGCCTCGCGATCGGCTACGCGCAGGCCGACCAAGCCCTGGTCCCGTGTCCAACCAAGCCCTCGCGCCGACCGTCGGCGAAGCACGGACTGTTTCTTTTGCGGTCGCTTGCTCGCATTGTATCATCTCCTCCACCCTAGGCCTCGACGTCCCTATCCCGGAACGACGGCACGCTCCAAGTCCCGCTCTACCACGACGCCACGCGCGAGCAGTTCCTCGTCGAAATTGCTCTCCCGCTCGGCCGCGAAGACCCCGACATCTGGGTAAGGTCGGGCGTCGACGCTAGAAAAACCCATTGGGGTGCTGTTTCCAGGCGGACTTCAGCGAATCATCGTGATCTTGACCCCAAAGCCCCCACGCAGGTCCTCGCCGGCATCGCCATTTTCCTTTCCGACGCACTCTAGTAACTCACCGAAACAGAGGGCCCCGCTATTTCCATGCCGCCGATGGACGGTCTATTGGTTCTCGCATACGCCAAGGAACGATGCCCTCCTCCGGCCCCGACCCCGACATCCCAAAACCTAATGGATCCCTTGGGCTATGCGGCTGTGCACTCTTGGCGGGGAGACGTGGCAATGAATAATAGGGGGGTACAGTCGACGGCCGGGCACCTAGCGCCAGCCCGCTACGGAGATTGTTTTTCAAGCCGCCGTCGCCACCGTTTTTCAAGCCGCCGCCGCCACCGGCCGCGCGGAGGTGGAGCATAATAACTTAACTTTGAACAGCAGATAATGAGCAACCAATATCCTAACTACCTAGGAAGTTAGGATAGTTTATTAGCTTCCTAACGTCGCTATGACGTCAGTCAAACTACTATCCAGCAGGTGCACTGTCCGGCGACTGTGCTACCTCGCTGAGCCTGGTGCTCTCTGGCACGTCGCTGTGACGCTAACCAGACAGACACCACAGACACAGAAGAGCGCTATGCTCTCCTGTCCCTGCTTGGCAGTCACTCCTTCAATTCGCTGTGGTGGTCCTCTCCCAGCTCGCCGCTTCCCCGGGGGGGTCCGGGGTGGCGCGGCTTATATTTTTTGGCCCGCCACCACCCTCCTTCGGCACAAATGAAGCACCCGCCCTGCCCTGCCCTCCTCCGTCGCTGAGGTGGCTGCGCCATAGCGCGGTCCGTCGGCCTTCATTCTGGCTCGGAAAGTGATTTTTTTTTTATGTCGATGGTCCAAGCTTTTAAGGTCGTAGTCGTGGGCGACTCCGGCGTGGGGAAGACTTCGCTCTTGACGCGATTCGCCAAGCACGAATTCCGAGGGCCCGACGCGACGCGCTCCACCATCTCCGCCGCGTTTTTCACCAGGAGCATCGACGTGGACGGAGAAAGCGCGCCCCCGGTGTCGACACAACCAAACAGAGGCGGGCATTTCGTAGAGGTTTATAAAATTCAGTGAAGGCCACGAAACCTGAAACCCGACAGGCGTGGACCTGGAGATCTGGGACACGGCGGGGCAGGAGCGGTTCCGATGTATTACAGAGGCGCGTCCGGCGCGGTCGTGTGCTACGACGCGACGGATGCCGAGAGCTTCGCGCACGTGCCCGGCTGGTACACGCAGCTCAGGATGATGGGGGAGCGGGGGGTCGTCGTCGGCCTCTGCGGGAGCAAGCTCGATCTCGCAACTGGCGCTGCGCGCGCCGTGGCCTCGGCTGGTGCGGAGTCTTTTGCGGCGACGCAAGGACTCGCCGTCTTCCGGGAGACGTCCGCAAAAACGGGCGAGAACGTCGAGGAATTCTTCGTCGCGCTGAGCCGCGGCATGCTGGAAAGGCGACGCGCGGGTGCCGGAGTTCCCGGCAAGCCGCGGGGCGCTGTCGAGCTGTCGCAGCCGCCCCGCCGCGGCAGCCGCTGTTGCTAAGAACCCCCCCCCCCTCGGCTGCACCCAGGGGGCTTAGCGCGCCTGTCTAGGCTGTAGACGCGGAAGAGGACGACGCAGAGTAGTAGGGGGAAGATGCCCCGGAACCGTCCGAGTCTTGAGAACTCGTGTAGGAGTCGTCGTCATCCTCTTCGTCGTCGTCATCCTCTTCGTCGTCGTCATCCTCGTCGTCGTCGTCATCCTCGTCGTCGTCGTCGTCCTCGTCGTCGTCGTCATCCTCGTCGTCGTCCGTCCCGTCGTCCTCCTCGTAGCCAAACAAAGGCGAGTATTTCTGGGCGTGTGTAACATTCAGTCCATAGGCTTCATCCTCGTCGTCGTCCTTCCCGTCGTCCTCCTCGTAGTCGTCGGCGGCGAGTTTCACCGGCGGAAAGTAGTGTTCCATCAGGGCCGCTAGGAAGGACGCCGGAGAGCACGACGCGAGGCCGCCATCGTAGAAGAAGCCGGGCTTCTCGACCTGCGTGGGCGCGGAGGTCGCGGGTCCGCGGGTTCCGGACGAGGCTTGCCCCTCAAAAGCGGCGCCTACGTAGGCTCCAGAGGCTCGAGCCGAGGCTACGTAGCCTCGTAGGCGCCTACGTGGGCGCCTATGCGCCGACGCTGTTCTCGACGACGACGGCCTCGACGTCGGCGTCGGTGGTCCCGGGCGCCCGCTCGACGAGCGTCTCCCGGTACCGGGCCGCGGCCTTGACCTTGATCCTGCCGTCGTCGTCGCCCGTCACGAGGACGTCCCCGAGGCCCGCGGCGCAGGTCAGCGCCGCGCCGTCCGCGGCGATCGCCGGCGGCCGGCGGCCGCCGCCGACCCCGGGCCGCGTCCAGGCCGCGAGCGCGAGGTCGCGCGAGGCGGAGAAGGCGAGGCCGCCGCAGGCGACGAGCGCGACGACGGGCGCCGCGTGGCACGCGAGCGTGCCGACGCGCGCCAGCGCGAGGAGGCCGCCGGCGTCGTCGCGCGCGCGCCGGAGCATCGCGATCGCCCCGGACGACGTCCCGCAGAGGACGAGCTCGAACGCGGCGGCCAGGCACCCGGCGCGCGACTCGAGCGCCGCGGACGCCTACGAAGCGCCGGCGGTCGCGACCCCCGCGCGCCGAGACCCCCGCGCGCCGCCGCGGCCGCGGGACGCCGGCGCGCGGCCGACGGCGCGAGGTCGCCCCGGTCGAGCGCGCGGACGAGGCCGTCGTCGTGCGCGCAGAAGACCTCCGGGCCGTCGACGAGGAGCGCGGCGACGCCGGCGGCGGCCGCGGACCGGTCGGCGGCGTCGTCGGCCCGGAGGCCGAAGGCCG